ATCGTCGTCCACAGAAAGCCCATGGCCATCTCATAGCAACATGTGTTTGACGTTAAACTTGACCTTGCCTGTAAGGCTCCCTGTTTTCATATCAAGTGCATCGACAGAGAAGACAACTAAAGCCTGGTGTGTTTGGTCCACAAGAATATCTTCCACCCCAGCTAAGCCTCCATGTAAGTATGAACCTTACGTGGCGCCCAACTTGTTGCTCCACGGGAATAAGTAGCTGGACAAATCTTGGAGGAGCCTAAGGCCAAATCAGGAAGCACACAACACAAGCTCAAGAAATGCAGCCTACTGACTCGATTTACCTTAAATGCAAGACCTCATTCAAGACCGCCTGTCCTTTCTAGGCAATTGAGAAAGAATTTCTCTCTCTCTCTTTCATCTGCTGGATAGCTCATGTTACCACAGTAAATGACTTCTGGAACAGGAGGCTTCATTTTTAAATGGGTGTTTAAGTTATCTCCCATAGTAGAACAAACACTTTTATTATTTAGAAAAAAGGGTCCCTACTAAGAGACCTTGGAGCCAGGAAGACAGAGCTACCTCTCTGAAAGCTGGAGCTTGTGATTTGTCTTATCCAAACGGGCTCCTTATCTCCCTTTCTCCTACTTATAATAAATGCCCGGAGCAGCGCTGGTTCACAGAAGGGCCTTACGAACCTCAGATAAAAGAAACTAAGCGAAGGTGCGGCGTTACTGCACAGAGGGTGATTCAGCACCTGCCCTGTCGTGCCTGGTGCCCGGGCCGAATGGATTTTTGGAGTACACCTGTTGTTGAACCCCTGCCAAGTGCTGATGGCCACTAACCCCCAAATCACTTTCCCTCGCTGTTGATGTTTGGAATGTCAGACAGGACTGAGCAGCAGCCAGTGTGTATTTCAAACACAGCAGATGGATTTTTATATTGGCTCCTATTTCATGTTCAGGCAGAGCGACCACCACACTAAAACCGCAGCCTCAACGCTGCCGAGTTGTTTCTGTGAGATTAATTCTGTGAAATTAATTGGGACAAGATTGAAAAGGAAATTAAAATGCAGCTGAGTGAACAGGCCTTTCAAACACCTTTTTCCTGCTCTATTCAAACTTGAATTCTGCGATGGTCGTAGGCATCGTGGGAAGTAATTTACGAGAGGCAGGCTCTCAGGAGCTATCGGTTACGTATGAGGAGACCTGCACAAGCGCCACAATCTGGAGCCACTGAAGAGCGCTAAACACCCGCTGTGGGCTGAGCTGCGTCCCTGCACCGGGTGGAAGCCAAGCTCAGTCTCTGCACCAGAAAAAGCTGTTCAGAAATATCTGGGCTCGAAAGGAACACGGGAACATCAACATCCTCTGGGTGCGCAGATCTGCTTCGTTATTAAATTCTCCCTTTAATATATTTTAAGACCCAAATTGGAACTCAGTGACTAAAGCGGGCATGAAATGGCTTGGGGCTGAGGGATGTTTGGATGTGTTTGGGGGTCAGTGGGAGTCCTGCTGACTTTGCCATTGGTCACTGTTTCAGAGCTTGGATACATGGCTCTGGCCTTTCCCCAAAGGAGAAGTTTGAGGAATCGATCAATTTTGTCAGTGATGAAATCTCTCCGACTTTTCCTGGTCTGAGGCATGGTGGATTTCAATGTCGGCCTCTTCACTTTTGTTTATTTCTAAGTGAGAACCTTGTGTGCTTTTGAGTATCTCTATGAAGAGGTCTTGGCAAGAGAGGCTACCTTTTTTTCCTCTCTCAGGGCAACAATAATTTATTGAACTGCTAGTATGCACCTAACATTGACCCTAAAAGTTTACTGTTAGTGGAAAAGAGGGGAATATAAAAATAGTTTCTATTTCCTAGATGCCAGGCAGTTCTTTATACAAATTTTCTAATGTAAGCATCACGACACCCTATGAATGGAAATTGGCCCAATTTTTATAGATGAGGAGACTGAGGATTAGCAAGATTAAGTGACTTTGCTCAGGGTCACATAAGTAACCTATCTGTTATTGACTTGCTTCCCTAAGAATAGGACAGGTGATGGGCATTTGGTTACTTATGATAGGGTGCAATTTCCTTGCCTAGCCAATCACCCTCTCTGGAATTTTTTTTTTAAAAGAATAAATAGTTTTCTTTCTGGGATCCTTCCTGCCCAAAGGCCCCAAGGCCCTAATAGACTCCCCTGGCCCTGGGATTCTAGAATTCAAGGTTGGATCATACTTGGGCAACTATTAAGAAACAGCAGGGGGCAGCAGAAGCCCAAGAATAAAGCTGTTACCTTCACCCCCACCTCACTTCCTCATCTAGGGGCCATTTCCTGTTATCCATTCGTCCCCCCACCCCACTTCAAAATATATCTTTTATCATATAATGAGAGAGGTGCATTTATGAGGGCCCAAAACAAGAGAGTTCATAATTGGATTTTTTTTTGTTCATTTACTCTGAATAAAACATTTACTCTAAAACATATTTTTGTGTGGAATTTCTTTAGCAATTTTGCAGTGTCAGCCTCACCATGTTTAGAATGGGGATGTTTGAGGTGGAAGGAACCTTAGAGGTCATTCAACCTAACTCCCTTATTTCAAAGGGACCCCCAGTGAGAAGCGGGTCCAGGTAACTGGAGCTGCACTCAGCTGAGTCTTGTCTTGTGTTTCTCAGGCAAAGGGACTTCTCTAGGCTTCTGAACAGCTGGCCTTTCTTGCCTGACAAAGGTTCTACTGGCAGAGAAAAAAGTAAAATGGAGATTTATAGATACTGTTTTTCTGGACTAACTTTGACTTGGGCCAGTTCTGTTCTTCTAGGTATGAGAGGCAGGCTGAAGAATATAATTGACTATAACGAAGGAAGCCAGCTAGGGCCGAACTGGAATAAATTTCGCATCCGTATGAGAGAAAATTCCAGAGATTAGTAGAGGTTACTTAATGTCTGAATAGATAGACAGTTGGGAATGATAGTAGAATCTTCTTTTCTCTCTATCTGAACTGGTTAATTTGGGTTTCTTAGAGGCAAGGAAATGGATTGGGTGGCCTTTGAAGGTTCCTTCCTGGCCAGGGACTCTTATTGAGTTAGGTAATATAATAAAGGTAAATCCAACCCAAAAGGCTCCCCAAGCCAATGTTAACAGGAACGAAACTTTATGAGGGAAACTTCAGCCGAGCTACCAGCTTATTTCCTCCTCCGATGTGTAGGGATTAGCGACATGGAGAAGAGAGGCGGCCGGGGTGGCTTTGCAGGGAAGAAATGTGCTACTACAAAGGGATAAGAATGGACTGGTGCATGACCTTCCAGAAGAGGAGAAAGAAGCCCAAACGAACCAGGGCAGCAAGGTATTCTCACTGAATGGAACTCTGATATAGGAGCTTTTAATAATGGAGGAAGGGAACGGGGACAGGTTAAAAACAAAAACAACAGGTTGGGGAGGCTCCCCCTGTTCTTTGATATCTCTTAGAAATACAATGGCCATGGTAACTGCAGACAGCTCCGTACTGCAGGGCAAGTCACCACATAGCCACTTCTAAATGGAAGAAAGGCACCCCCAGTGAGAAGCCATTAACAAAGGCAAAAGACATGCAAAACAAACAAAATAATCATGACGAACAGAGAAGACCAGCAGACAGCCAGGCTCTGTTCTCCTCCCCACCTCCGCTCCACCTCCCCAGCTGCAGGCACCTCAGACAGTGTAAACAGTTAATTTGTTCACCTGCAGGCTCTGGGCAAACAGAGGCCTGGTCACACCTGAGTGGATAACTCGATTACCCCTGTAATGCCAGTGTGGTAATGTACACAAATTCTATTACACGGCAAATCTTGCTTTCGGGCATTTGAAATACCAATCAGGCCAATGTCCACTCCCTTCCTTGCTTCCAATTTATTCTTGGTGTATTGGAGCTGCACCGGAATGGCACCAGGGTGGTGCTGAGTTAGGACTCCGGAGGAAATCACCAGAAGATTGTACTCTCAGAGTCTTGCAGGTCTCCAACACTTCTTAAAAAAGTTAGGTCTGAATTTGGTCCTCATTTGGAAGGGACTTATTGGAACCACTGAAAGGTACCTTGAGTCAGCCCTAATCTGTTTCCTAAGGAGCCGATGGTATATTTCAAACTCAGACAAACCCTTAGCAAGGTAGTCATGTTTACAGAAAAAAGATAAACGGCAAATGATGAGTTAATGACACAATGAGTTTTCAATTTTCCTTTATAAAATGCATGTACTCATCAATTAAAGAACAAATTGTACCTATTTCAAAAATATGTCTGTAGATATTGATTGACGTCATATAGAGAACTTTTAAATAAGATTTTTCAGGGATAGAACCTATTTCCTTAGCCCTCTGATATAGAATACGTGTAGCCTTTCTTTACAAAGATGATGCTATTGATTCCTTGGTAGCCCATAAATTTTGAGTCTTCTTCACATTGGTGATGGATCTAAAATAATCCTTCCCCCCCAATTCTTTTATGATCAACAACACTATTTGCGAGATGACTAGCTGGGGTTGGGGGTTCACTTTGTGACTGAGGAAGAAGTAAAGTTGGCTGGCCCTTGTGGGGTTGAATTTACTGTCTTGGTCATATTGGCACTTGCTCAAACCAACTGAGCCAGCCAGCTCTGACTCCTCCCCTATACATAATTATATTAAAGTCTTGTTTATTTATAAATAAAATAAGGCAGCTGACCTAGCCAAAATATTTTTAAGAGTATTAGATGGTAATAAATTATGTATATAGTGATGACTTTTTAAGCACCAGACCCTAAAATGATCAAATTTTGATTGGCATAGTTTTAGTATTATGTCTACTTTAGTATATTTTTAAATTTGAAAATTGGTTCCTGAATCTGAATTTTCAATTAAAATTTTCCCTAGGAATTATAAACCAATGAGCACTTATTCTATGTGTCAGGGAGCCATGTAATACACACAAGAGAAGTATAAGACACGGAATAATTCTGGTTATGGTGACTACATCATCAAGAGTGAAAAAAAAATCGACTTTTGATCCAAGCCCCAAATTCTATGTCTTTACCTTGCTCAGAATTCGGATGAGGTCACCCCGTTGGAAGGACAGTTCGTCTGACTGGTCACCACGGCAATCCCATAGGCCCTGGTAATAACTGGCATAGTCCACTGATCAAAGAGGGGAGAAATCAAAGTTAAAAAGACTGGTTTTTTCTATGGAGCCCACATTTTTGCTGTAAATGGAAACCAGGGTTCTGATATTGCCCCTTGGAAACCTATGATTCAGGGGGTTGAGATGAGATACAGCCAGCATGAGCAAAGGACTGTGGGAGAAGGAGATTATTAACTAACATTAAATATTTACAGATCACCCTAAGTCGATACTCTTCAATAATATGATAAATATATTCATTTATTAATAAAAGAAAATCAGGCAGATAATTTTTCATTTGATTTGTAAGTAAGCAGCACAAAGAGATTTTCTGCTAGACTTTCTTGACCCAGGATGTCTAAACCATCCGGTACTTCTCTTTATTATGCCTTTGAAGGAACGCATAAGTCTCTGACCTCCTATTTACAAGAGAGGCTGAGTCAGCCAGCATGCGTCTGTATCACAGTCTTACATGTTGGCATCCTCTGTTACACAGGAACTTCATCCCGGGCACTTCCCACCCAGGTACTATGTGAGGTAATCACCAATAAATACGGAAATGAATAGCTCAGTCTTTAAGTGGAACCAAAGGGTGTCTCATCCATTACGACTAAATTCTGGGTGGGCTGGCCCTTTTCCAGCATCTCATTTGTAGACCCTGAACATGTCTGCCAAGATTTATCTGCAAGCCCCTAGGGGAATAGAAACCAAAGTGATCTGCATTAAAAATGAAAGCAACTCAAGACGACAAACCAAGCTTTAGAAACAGCTGGAGAAATTTACTGGGCTTCTCAGCAAGACTAGATGGCAGTGATGCCACAGGACAGCCATCGATTCTTAACAATGAAGAATTTGTATTGATCTTCTTCTACCAGGAAAGGTTAAACACTAGAGTACAAAATGGGAGAGGATCTGGGGACTTGAATGGCAGGAGAGCTAATGCCCACTAGATCAGGGATAATGTGGCAGTGCTCCCTGTTCCTTAGGATGCGATGTATGAGAGCTGTAAGCAAAGCACCAAAGATGAAATTCCCATCAATGTGAGTCAGGAGTCCTGAGTTCTAATCAAAATTCAAGTGACTTTCAGGGACTCTATTTTACCAGTTTCCGCCTTTCCCTTCATTTGTCTTGACCCTCCTGTGAGGAGTGACGGGCCTGGTCACTAAGCATGGAAATGGATGGGGGCAAGTGGGCAGTGGGGGGACAGAGGCCCTGGCTATATTTCTTTTTTCTTTTTCTTTTTAAAACTTGTTCTTTACTTATGAACAATTCAAATAATAAAGGCACAGGGGAACAAAATCTCTATATATTTTGGAAAAGGGAATCTTTAGTAGGAATCTTAAAGTGCACAAAAACAGGAGGGGCAGAGCTATTTAGTTAAGACTTAGATATTGAAAACAAGTAAAAATGTTAACCATAGAGAAACTCAGGCATGTTTTCTATTCACAGAAAATGGTTTGTATATGCAATAGACAACAGAGGGCAGCAGATAAGGCAACTATGCTGGAAACATTCCATCACAGAGTTAAGAATGTTTTTGAAAGAAAAACACACTGAGATAAACATGCTAACAACTGAAAATACAAGGGATATATTTTTTGGATATCAGTGCATGAAATAGAGAAATATCAGCCCCTGAAAAGTGAAAGTAGTTTTCCCAGAGGATATGTTAATGAATTTTTAGTTATAATGGAGTTGATTAATCATCCCAAGAGTTTGACTAAATTTTGGAATGAAAAGTATATTGACATCAGTATTTTTCATGGTATTATATATGGTAAAGAAAATCATTTTATAAGAACAGATTTAAAAAACATAACTTGATATATCCAAATGGTAAGGCTGACAAAGTTATCTTGGCTTTTTCTGGCATAGCAGACGGTCAATGCGGGGTACTGCTCCCCACGTGCCTGGATGTGGGATAGCACCTAGGATTATGAGTACCTTTTGAGTATATATGTAAAAAAGTGATTTGAAATCGGGTATATAAGGCCCCTGGGGAGAACACCTGGAAAAAGACCTACTCTACAAGCATCGTAGTCCACAGAGAAAGCAAGAATCTAAGAGGAGAACAAAAACCTTCCAAGAAAAAATAAGGACGGACAACGCTTTTAGTTCTTCATAAGTCGAAGGCCAAAAGAAGATGGAGCTCAGGAATCCAGGAGATAGGTCAGCCTAGCCAAAGAGTCAGAATCATCAGAACCATGACAGAAAAAAAAAAAGCTCTGAAAAAATAAGCAGAATGAAGAAATAAAAATGAGGAAAAGGGTGGACTTGCTATCTAGACAGAGGTATTCCAGTATTAAGGAAATCAGAGAGGAGGGTCACCTTGACTGGATGAGACTGTACTCTGCACTGCAGGCTCCCAATGTAGTTTGCATTTATGTGTAAGTGTGTACACGTCACTGCATTCAGTCCTTAGGATTCAACAAGCATGTACACAGCACCTACTCAGTGCCAGAGACGATGCTAGATGCTGGGAAGTCTGCATTGGCCATACATGGTCCCTGCCCTTAGGGCTACTACCCAGTTGGGGAGGCACGGTGAAACAAAGATTTATGTATTTATGATTACAATGTTGGCAAAGGAGATGTTGAAGGTGCACGATAGGGAATCTAACCTAGTTGGAGGGGTCAGGAAAAGCTTCCTGAAGCTTTAGTTATATAATAAAAACCTGACTGAGGATAGGTATTATTTAAAGACCTTGAAGAGGGGAAGAGGTAAGGCTGAGGAGCTTAATTCTTGAAGCTTGGCCCCAGGAGAAGTGTGAAGGCCGGGAAGTCTGCAAGGCCAGTCCAGCTTTTCTCTAAACTTGCGCAACTCACTGATAACAAGTGATGCATGAGGAGATTGTGATATCTTTAAATCAGTGAGGAATTGGGAGCCTGAGAGAGGATTGCCTCTGTGGGCTGGACTAGAGTTCCTTTAGTTTTACACTACTCTGGCAGCAATCTAAGATCAGAAATGGTGCCGCATTCTGACCATTTAATTAATTCAAAACACCCTCATTCTCATTTTGAGGACATTATTCCATCTAATTATTTTTTTCCAGTCTGTCCATTTGGAATGAAAAACAAAAGAATAAAGCTTAATGCCAGCATTTCTCAATGTCTCTCCAAAAAGAACGTAACTCTGCACTAAATAAAGCCTGGTAATTCAAAGCAAAGCACTAATATATTCAGCATAAAACAGACAGAGGACCTAGAGCAATAATGACACCACTAATAACTAAAACAGTTATAACAATTAACAACAATTACAATGATAGAGAAGCTAATGGGTATGATCACGGCATTTAAATTGCAAGCAGAGCTGAGAAGGAGTTTTTCTAGAGAAAAAAAAGGGGGCCTGCATCTTATTTTCTTTATCTCACATAAGAGAAACTAAGCTCCAAGCAAACAGAATGTCACAGAAAGAATAGCAACAAAGTTAAAAAAAATATTGTTTTTCTCTCTTTTCTAGGTATTTATTGCAAAGCATTTGTCATTCTAAATTTTTTATAATTAGTAACAGTAATTTCTCCTGTAACTGAGGCCAAGTTGGTGCTACTGCTGACAGAGTCAATATTTGAAAATAAGCCTCTATCACATGGTGAGTTCTAAGGTGAAAGGACCAGGACACCTTCCTGCCACTCCTCTTCCTTAGGGACAATAGAACCTGACTATATTCTTTCCAGAGTTCATATGTCACCTAGGATTTTTGATTGGGGGACAATTGGTTAGTTCCAGAATTCAAACTATAACCAAAGAAAAGAGCCTAAAGGCAGGTCAGTATGTTGTTTACATTTTCTGGGTGAGCAAAAGCACTCTGCCAACAAGGCCTGGCATTGGGTATGACCACTTAACAAATGATAGAAAACAGAGACAGAACGAGAAGACAGTTGAAGACAGTTAAAGCCAGTCCTTGCCAGAGCCCAGATTGTTGAGACTTGGACAAAGAAGACTAAAGCAGTGGTACATTGGAAGAGACTTGAAATGCTCATGAGGCCAGGCCAGAAGAGGCCACCATGTCCGGTCCATTAAAGCAGACTTAGTCTGATATCTTATTAACTAATTCAGAGGAAACCTATGAAAAACCCATGAGCCAAGCTCACTGACTATGACACCAGAACAGGAAGAGCAACTGAACAATACCGTTTGCTTGTTTTTATAGCTCTTTAATTTTGAGCTGTGAAGTTATTATGGTCCTTAATGCTATAACTATGATCTTGAAGTGGGAACACTCTCTGATCCAGATTTTCATCTTCTGTGCTCCTTTCATTGGGCTAAAATTGTAGCTGGCTGATGATCAACTCATGTTTGGTTTTGGGAAATAAGTTTCAAAAAGTAAGAGCTGCAAATACCTCTGTGGCTTCCCTCCGTTT